CGTCTGGCAGCCTCATATCGATCAATCTGTTTTGCTTCCCTAACTAGCTCACGCATGAAAGCGTTGTAGTTTTTCTTGAAGCCCTCCTCCTTTCTCAACTTTATTGTCAACAAGAGTCGATTTCGGAGTTGATCATGTGTGACACGTTTAAGAACGTGCCCAACAGCCAACTGAGGCTGTTTCTGAATGAAAGCTGAGTATCCGAGATTGTCCAAAGTCGTAGCATACTGTCCTAAAGTCAGGACCTGCATCTCCAGACTCATATGCTTGGGACCATGCTCCATGCGGACCTGCCTGAGATCCCGCTCGATCTGGCCCAAGTCATACTCAGCGGGATTGACATGTGCGCGTTCCTCCACACATGCCTTCAAATGTTCCTCTGATATCTCTTCCACAGTATCGGCAGGGACCCACTGTGCTTTGACAAACATGTCCAGCACGGGTTTGGCGATAGAATTGCGATACGTAGTCAGTGGAACACTGACTCCACTTTCTTCATTTTTCTCAGTGATCATGCGTTCATACACCTCTCGGCGTTGTTTGTATCGAACAAAGTCTTTTGTTCCGATGCCTTTCAGGCGCGGAGCTTCCACAGACTCTACAATAGTCTGATGGACAGTGTCGTGTCCAGTAGCGGCCGTTCCGGCCGCCTCTTCCTCAGTCATTGTCCAGACAAGGCGGTTCTCGTAGCAAAACCTCGCAAGCTATTCGCGAGTAATTACTGTAACGACTCGCGGGGTCGCGCTCGTGGAACTCGCTTCTCCAAACTAGAGGGGAAGCGCGCACAGTATCGGCAAGTCACTCTGCCTCCTCTTTCTCTGGAGAGTGCCGCACTTTACTCTATAAAGTATTGTCCTCCTTTTCAGGACAGGAGCTCCAATTCCACGCCCGTGGCATGTGGTGCCAACGGGCGCGACCCTTTTCAAAATACTACTGTCGGTGACGCCTGAAAGGTCGCCTCCGAATGTTCTCATCAGACGCATAATTAAAAGGTTCGGGATATTACATATCAATACAGCAGCAAAATTCAACGAGACTGAGAGGGTACACTGTATCGTACTGCAGCGCACGTAGGGGGCAACAAAAGGGAATTGCTGTAGCTGAGTCAGTGTTACAAAAATGTTGGAAATACCTGACTCATTACTGCAGTTGCAATGTTTTTTTTGGCGTGCAAGCAATGCAAGGCAAATTCTCTGCTGTTTTGCTCAAGGCACCGTCGTTAGGATGTTGATTCCTTAGTGGTTTGTATCATAGCCGTACCAGAGTTGAGATTTCAACGCCTAACCAGTGCAATGCTCACAACCTCGGCCTCCGTTTCAAGATGCACAAAGGCATGTATGCTGAATGGAGAAGCAGCAATACAGTTACCCTAAGCTTTGACTACTGCACTCTCTTCGGTGTTGAAAACATTGCATGAGTGAGAGCTTCAGGTCTGTAAAGCGACACCGGAAATTTTTGGAAAAACACGGCCTCTGAAACTTTCCTTTCCCGTATACCACTGGGTTGGTTTTGCTATTTGAAGGACATATACAGTATTAAACACTGGCGATGGGTTTTGATGCGGGAGGGATAAAATACTCTTTCATGAAACCGAGCACTGGTCCAGAAAGCTGCAAAAAGATGTTGCAAGCATCTGCAGTTAGGCAGAGAAAAGATTGGGCAACTGGACACGCAGCATCTCCATCCGCATGAAGTGTAAAAAAAACACAAACGCACACACAAGCGTGGCACTTTTTCCGCCCAAAACTCATGCACATCCGTTGGTCTACTGTCTATAACTCCAGGCACAGTCCCTCTGTGTCTGGAATGGTAAAAAGGGACTGACGGATGTGTCTGAGTTCAGGGCAAAAATGTGGGGGGACCGTGAACGTTCTCTCAAGCACAAAGGATTTTGCCTTTTTGACGTTGATCAATCTGAAGAACCGTGCGGGCTTCAGTTGCCTGTGGCTCACTAGCCGTCGCGACTCTCACCCCAGACTGTTGGCTCAGGCCGTGGGTTGAGGTTGGTTCTGATGTTTGGTGAGACTGTATGGTTGCTCTTTGCTCTCGAGGGTTGTCCCGGTCCTTGGTAATAGCAGATGATGTCGCACTACCCAACGGTGGCACGTCTGCACTCTCTGGCTTGTCCCCCTCCCGAAGCTGTTCTACACAAAACTCGACGGCACGTCGTGCCGCACAAGGG